CCTAAAAACCAAAAAAATTACTTTATTCACTTAAGTAAATTTTTAAAATGGCCATTTTGTAAAAATATCATTTTAAAAATTTTAATGAATCATATATTCATATCCGATGAATAATTTCTTAGTTATAACCGTTTAATTAGGCGTGAAAACAATTATTATTCAATAAATTAACACGTTATGCGATAAAAAATTACAATCAGACAGTAATTCTTTACCTTTTATTGAATATTAATTGTTTTCACACCTATTTTCTAGAAATTAAAAATGCTATAATTTAAAAACTATTAATCGGGTATAAATGTATGATACATTACAACTTTTAGAATAATATTTTTTATAAAATATCTATTTTGAAAATTTTCTAATGTGAACAAATAAAAAGTGATTATTTATGTTATGTTTAGGGGATGAAAATAAAAATTAAATTTTTCTCCAAATACATGTCCCCTTCGAAGATAAACTGATTGAAAAAAAATCGAAAAAAATTTAATATTAACAGCACTAGAAAAATCCGTCATAGTGGGACACACAGTATTATATTGTTCTTATGATTCGGATGTCTACATATTTACAAAGCATTGATTTTGGCTCTAGGAGATAATAAAACTATGAAACGCGTTTTTGTTTAGTAATTATATTCCTATGGCCTTCATGTTGTTTTATACAATATATCAGGGTTATTTATGATTTATACCAATTAAATTGATTAAAAACCAGCTTTAAATTTCGATATGAGCTTACAATGGTAACAGCAATGTACAATAAGAAAATATGTATAATATTCATACAATAAGAAACTTCCGTATGCACATGATGTCGCGGTAAGTTTGAAAAATTCTTACTGGTGTCGAAACGGATCCCAGAATGCTAATATTTTAACGGAGTAAATACTCTTAGATAGGTTTACGAATACATTTTATAAATAATCAACAGTTTTAAGTAAATTTTCAATATAAAACTAAATGTAAAAAAAAAGAGCTGATACTGTGGACAGGTGTGTAAACCGTTGCTACCGAAAAACGATTCGGAGTGAAGTTCAGTAAAAGATCTTGTGATGTTTTTCTATTGGAGCAATATTTCTGATAGAAAAAGTAATACGTATAAATTTAAAATAATGAAATCATAACGCCATAAATTTGTCAGTTTTCATTTTACGTTTTTTCCTAATTGTTCATAGAACTACAGAGGAAAAAAAACGAATAACTTGATAAAAAATGAAACAAAAAACCTCTCTTGTCGTATATTTGTTGGAGCAATATTTATGGTAGAAAACATCGCTTAAATATAATAAAAACAATGAAAACTATAACACCACCACGCCATGGCGCCCCGAAAATATTTTCCGTTTTACCTGTAATTTTCTTTCGTTTTTTCCCAATTATTTCGAAAACCCCTATGAAAAATAAAAAATGGCTTCCCCAATGCATCAACAAGATATAATTATATCTTTCATTAATTACCTTTCAGAAAAGATGCTATAGTCTTACTATGAAGCAAGTTTTCTAGTATAAAAGTTGTTCACAGACAGAGCAAGTAAATCTATCTAATAGTTCATATGTGAATTCCGGAAATAAACTATAATCACAAAATTACTAAACGGAAAAAAAGGCCGGTTTGATTTGCTGTTATATAATCTACAGTAATAGAAGACTAAGATTAGATAGAAAGGTAAAAATGTAAAATGTAAGGCAAAAAAGTTCGCAAAATTAATCTGTATTATTGGGTAATAATATATGAAACCCACAGTTTTATTTTATAAAATTTAGAGCACTATAGCGCATAAGAGATGTAGTTGTTGTCTAATTTCCCAGTAATTCATATTGAAATTTAATTAGTGATTTTGAAATCGGGGAAAGAAAATAATTTGTAATGGTTTTGCATACACAATTAATCATGGTGTGTCAAAAAGCATCCGCTGGAAATACTCTTTAAAAATGTCCGTTTGTAATGTATTTTAGTCACTTCAAAAGGTAAATAATAATAATAAAGAATTTATTTACTATATATTTCACTAATCCTCAGTTAATTATGAGTCATTCGCATGCTGGTGACTATTATTTAGCGGTAATTGTGAAAGCTAAAAAAGGCATTAATAAACGAATGAAAATAACAACAAATAAACTATTTATTTTCTGTTGTAGTAAATGAGCTTCCTCAAAAACTGTTTAAAATTAATTATTTCTGACGAAAGTACTAAACGGTTTCGGGTTATTTTATAAAACATGTTTAGCGGAATTTGAATTAGAGGCAGTCTTTTTAAATTTTATTTTAGAAATGTGTTTTTTACATCTTATTTTAAAATTTTCTGTTTGTCTTACTTATATAAAATTTTGTACAGTTACATTTAAGTTTATATATACTAGCATTTTCAAAAGAAGGGGGATTTTTTGTGAAGTTTTTAATTCTATTGTTAATATGTCTGATTAAATTATTACTAGTCTTAAAAGCGATTTTTACATTATTTGTATTATTGTTCAGAATTTTACTGAATTTGTCAAACATATTATTTTGATATTTCATAATAGAATAATTAACAATATTATTTAGTGAGTTGTGTATTATTTTTTCTTTAATACGTTTATGCATTTTTTAATTCAATATCCTATAGGCTTGAATGTATTCCATTAAATAAACATAATAATTAAAACTTAATATTATCTATAATATAGCCCACAGAAATAATTTCAATTAAAATACTATTAAACAAATATATAAACGTATTAAAGAAAAAATAATACACAACTCAGCTAATAATGTTAACTATTTTAGCATGAAATATCAAAATAATATGACTAACGAATAGGCTAAAATTCTGAAGAATAATACAAGTCCGGCGCCTACCAATATTGTGTAATCGAATTCATAATTTTGATTTTTTTTTTCGATTCCTGTTCTAAGCTAAAAACTTGTATTTATAATTTAAATATTTAATGTATAATTTAAATGTAAATTCAATGATAATTTTTGTTTTTTCGGTTATTGTATTCTAACCCTTTGGGGTGTTATATATATTTATTAATTTTTTGTTTAATAAATATATATCTGTTCATTCATCTAAAATTAACGTAAAAATTACTTTTAAGATTAATAATAATTTAATCAATAATTTAATTTTAATATTTCTTTGCATATATTTGTTGAAAAATAGGTATAATTGATACATTTTAATGCATATAATTGCATATTTTTAAATTTTTAAATGCATATTTTAAAGAAATTTTAGTCATTAGCATCCGAGCTATAATAATAATAAAGCAAATTAATAATATATATATATCATAATAAAGTAAATAAATCCTCTTATATTTGTTACATTTTTTACATTATATTATAATTTTTAAGTTCATCCTCCCTAGGTGAATATTTATATATTGATTTTAGGCATATGGTGATGTTTAACTTTGTAATCTAAGTAAATAGATAAACCTACTTGAGTTTATCAAAAATATTATATCAATTTTTAAATTTATATGTATTCAATCTTATTTGTATAAGAGTATTATGTTTAAAAAATACATTGAATTTAAAAAATAAAAAATAAGATTATTAAATTAAAATTATATGTTAAATATAATGTGAAGTTAAACATACATAAATAATTATAATTTATCATAGTTATTATATAGGTTAATATTTATACAATATTTAATAATTATAATACATGATTAAACATTTTATAACTTACAATTGGTCATAATACAATACTTAATAAACAATTAATATTTTTTTTAAATATTAAATAAACATTGAATAATGATTAACGTGTTGTCTGGGATTAGTTAAAAAAATATTTCAGCCTTTTTTTTTTTTGTGAACAACTTTTCTACCAGCAATTTCGTTATAATAAATTATAATGATAGAACTTTTTTCAAAAGGAAATCTAACTGGGAAGGTATTTAGAGAGGTGTTATTTCAATTTTTCCAATAGTTTTCCCAGCAAATGTAGAAAACCAGGTAAAACATAGGAAAATCGGATCATTGTGAAACAAATATTATTAAAGAAAATATATAATGCTTATTTAATTATTTTACCATAATATGACATGTATATTGTTGAAAAAGCATCAATATTAACTGAACTCTGCTCAGAATGAATTTTTCATTAGCAATGGTTTATCGTTGCTTACAGATATACATTAAATTTTCCCTCTACTACCTTTCCAACTTCTCACCTACAACAGTGGCTGCATGTATGTGTGAAGTTGCCCGGCTTCTTTGTTAAATTAAAAATAAAATAAAAATTGAATAGCCGATTTAGTAGTTCAATTTCTAAGTTAGGGATGTCACTCTGTATGTCTTCCAAATCTCCGACCCTGAATAGACATTATGCATATAATATATAATATTATTGTATGGTTAAACAAATAATTAAATCTTAAGGGTTATTTTTTTTTATTTTTTTTTTTTTTTACACTTTTACCCCTTTATTACTTTTTTTCAATTTAAGCACTGTAAATAACACTATATCGCTATAATTGTATGGGTAAATTTAATTTATATTAAATAAATCAATGAATATAATAATTGGGTGTCATATTTTTTGACGTTTGAAAGTTATCTTTGAATAATTTATCTGCACCAAGTCGTAAAAACATAATATTATAACAATCGAAGTTGTAAAAAATTTAATCAAAATTATTTTTGTATACTGTATAATTTTATAATAATTTTTTTTTCGTGATTGTGCTGCACAAATGTCCAACAGACAGCAGTCGGTTTTTTTTTTAAATACATTTATTTTACTTTACATTAAATCGCAAAAAAAATTATAATATTTAACTATGTATACACCAAATTGGTTCGTTAATTTGGCTATTTGTAATTGGTGTATTCCTAGTTATATTATTATTCATTTGTTGATAATTTATTATCTCTACTAAAACAGTTTATGTAAATATCACTGCACGAAAATATAGAAATAATTGTCCAACGATATATTTAAGAGTATTGTAATATTAAACATCGTCATTTGTATTATTATTTCAGGTTTATCGAATACAATGTATTATGATGATGGAGATATAAACATAGGTGGACAACAATACACCAAAAATTATTGTCGACACAGTAAAAGGCTTCCGAGACCGCCATGGATAGTGCCATTGATATTAGTTGTGTCATTTATTCATTTGGCTTGTTCATCAATAACCTGTGGCTCCGGTATAAAATCACCTGGAAGTAAGTAAATAGCAAATGCGGCTTAATTCAGGTCAAATATTAAGTCGTACCAAATTATTATTAATTAAATCTATTATTGTATATCTATCTATCTACGTATAAATATGCAATTTATTACGAAGTCTAAGTTTTAATATAAATTATTCCATTTTATATTATAATATTAAACAATGTTAAATATTACCACCGCCCTACGTATATCGTATTGTATCGGTCGATGATTTATTTTAAAGGTCAAATTAATGTTTGTAGTAATCAATTCAAATTAATTGTGCATCAAATATTATACGTATTTGTGATGCAATCAAACAATACATATATGCATACGGTTCTTTTTTTATGCATACTATCGTCTTTTAACGTTTAACACTATACGGGATAACATGTGTTTTCATTTAAAGGCATTAAGATATAATATTTTTGTTCAGTGACCTAGAGTGGACGTAAAATGTTCAGGAGATTATAAACGGGTACAGTGGGATACATTTTTGTGTCTTTTTATTTTGTTACCCTTTCACAAATTTGATTTCTTTTTAATAATGACCTCATTATTTCTCTAAATTCAATTAATTTTCATAATATTTTTATTTTTATTTTTTTAATATTGTTAGGGTTGCTTATAAAAATATTTTTCTTAAAATGTTGTTAGTTTTCATCTGCGTTATATTAAATTAAAATACTATGTTTGTTAAAAACAAACATAATGCACCTTAGATTCAGAATGTACGGGGGTATTGGTTTTATTTATTACTATAATACGAGGTCTAATAAAAAATTATCGAGACTGATAAGATAAATCGTAAATCGGTTTGAGTATGAACTTGCACGTGCTATATTAATCAAACTTTGTATGTTGGGAAAATATATTAGGCATAGATTAGATTAAAATTGTCTCAGTCGGCTTCTAGGTGCGATTAAGTAAAGTGTGTTTTTACGTCCTGTCGGATTTCCTGATGAGCGAAAATATTGAACAACAAGTGTGCATTAAATTTTGCCATAAACTGGGAAAAACGGCTACTGAAACCTACCAAATGTTATTGTTATCTTATGGAGATGAAACCATGTCTCGTGCTCGCGTTTTTGAATGATTCAAACGATTTAAAGAGGGTAGAACAACTGTTGAAAGTGATGAACGTGAAGGACGCCCGTCAACAAGCCGCAATGAGGAAATGGTTCAAAAAATACGAACAGCAATACGAGGTAACCGTCGTTTGACAATTATGGAACTTAGTAATGAGTTTCAAATCTCATTCGGATCAGTTCAAACCATATTGACGACTGATTTAGATATGAGAAGAGTTGCAGCCAAATTTGTTCCAAAACTGCTCTCAGATGAGCAAAAAGAAAACAGAAAACAGATCACCACTGATTTGCTAGAGTGTTCCGAATCTGATGAATTTTTTTTAAAATCAATTATAACTGGTGACAAGACTTGGGTATATGGCTACGATCCAGAAACAAAGGTACAATCTTCGCAGTGGAAGACACCTGATTCACCGCGACCCAAAANAAGAGTTGCAGCCAAATTTGTTCCAAAACTGCTCTCAGATGAGCAAAAAGAAAACCGAAAACAGATCGCCACTTATTTGCTAGAGTGTTCCGAATGATGAATTTTTTTTTAAATCAATTATAACTCGTGACGAGACTTGGGTATATGGCTACGATCCAGAAACAAAGGTACAATCTTCGCAGTGGAAGGCACCTGATTCACCACGACCCAAAAAAGCTCGTCAAGTTCGGAGTCAAGTGAAGGTTATGTTGACTGTTTTTTTCGACTACCAAGGTGTTGTTCATCATGAGTATGCTCCAAAAGGACAGACCATAACAAAGGAGTACGACATTGGTGTTCTTCGCCGTTTACGAGATGCTGTACGAAGAAAAAGACCCTAAGTTTAAAGAGTCTGGTAATTGGGAATTACGATAATGCACTAGCCCATTCAGCCCATGTTGTGCAGCAGTTTTTGGCTAAACATGATATCCCAGTTGTTTCTCAACCCCCCTAGTTACCAGGTCTAGCTCCATGTGGTTTTTTTTTTATTCCCAAAGATAAAAATAGCACTGAAGGATACACGTTTTCAAGATGTAGATGAAATAAAACAAAATGCGACGGAGTAGCTGCGAGGAGTTTTTAAAACTGACTTCCAGAGGTGTTTTCAAAAATGGCAGGAACGTTGGAGAACATGTATATACTCAGAAGGAGCATATTTTAAAGGAGATTGAATGTAAATATCTCTATCTAATAAATATGTATATTTTTTATTAACAGTCTTGATACTTTTTGATTAGACCTTGTATATTTTTTTTTTTTCAAACTCTGAGCGTAGCGAGAGATTTATTGGTTTAACTATGATGTGCACTTATTTTTACTATCTGTAAACAACTTTTCGAAAAGAAATCTTACTCCGATGTGTAGAGCATAGGATTGATTCTCCCAAGTATTTTTGAAATAATTATGAAAAACTGGAAAGAAAATTATGGGTAAAACGTAAATACTAATAGCATAACAGTTTTCATTGGTTTTTAATTTTTGTAACATGTTTTATTCCAGAAATATTACTCTAATCAAAAAATAACAAGAGAACGATTTTATTATTTTTAATATAAGCAACTGACAATAAAGTCATTTTTTGATATCTTGAATATTTTTCATAACAATTGGGAAAAACCAAATAAAAAAAACCAAAACTACGATTTTATCAAATTGCTGTGGAACCATTTCATTATTTAAAATTTTTACGGATTATATTATCAATCGTTGAACGCGTGACTACAAGCATATGCGTGCATAATATATTTTAATCAGTTTAGTATTGTTTCTTGTCGAGTGTTGTTCTTTTTGCTGTGATCTGGTTTAATAATTATGAGTTCAAGCAAAAAACGGAAAGTCGATAAAGAGTAAAATAAGTCGCCGAATCACAGATGATGGATGATGATGTTTTATTTTTTACGTGTAATAGTAATATTTCCTAAATTTATTGGTTAAAGGTAGATGAATGCCTATAAATATGTGCACTTCTCGGATTCACGTGAACGAAGTAAATTACAGCATAAACTATAATTTTTTTTTTTTCTAAAGGAAAAAAGGCTTAAGTCAGTTTTTGGAATTATCTATGAGTTTGTCTTGTTTTTTCCCCTTTATATTTTGGTCTAAATAGCTAAAGTTTATCTTTTACTCTTTCTTCGATATCATCCTATTAGGAATCGTCACGCTCATTCTAAACTTCCATTTGACCTGATCATCACCTCAATTCGGCCATCCTTAATTGCATCCAGTGTATGTATTTTCAAAATTTAATTTACTTGTATTGAAAAATATATAAAATTGATTAGGGTCCTTTTTCCATGAAAAAAAAAATATAATATTATCAAAGTAGCCCCCGTGACGTAACAATTACCTACTATTGGTGTATTTAGGAATTTGTCATGGGGAGGTAGAAGGGGGATTTAGGTAATTTCGCATGCAGTTAATTTATATTCGTCTAATAATATCATATTTAATAGTAATATTGTGTATGCGATTGTTGTTTCAGTGACCGTTCCAAGAGGTGACATCGTCTTGGAATATGGCAATCATAAACCGTTGGAAATTACTTGCATTTTAGATCCCGACAACGAAATCGTGCAAAGCATGTTTCCTAGACGTTCGGATGTAAATGGCGATGAAAACAGAATTTCGATACAACCAAGCCAGAAGATACAGTTTTTCAAGAATGAGGACTTAGTACCCGCTGAATACGTTACGATAGTGAACTCGACGGCAGCCCGATTGTTCGTACCGGATCCTCCGGCCGGTCTCGATATTTATTACTGTATGCTTCTGAACAATAGCTCCAGTGATCCGGTTATAAACTATGATCAGTCGTCAACATTATCCAGTTATTCGTCTACATTTTCCACAGTGCAGCCGAACAGTCAAGAAACGAGCAGTCCTTCCCCGATCATGTCCGAAAAGTCCGCGATTGGAGTTTGCCTAAATCGCATTGCCATCGGATGTAAGAATGATTGCAATTAATTGGTTTATCGCATTATGTTATTATTACTAAGGGCTAGGGACTTGATGCTTAAAATCCTTTCTTTTTTAAGCATATGTATGAATTTATGCTTTCAAAAAATTTAAATTTGAAAAAAGCCAAAACGTTTGAAATTCAACACGCTCTTACACATATAAAAAAAATTAACTATACCTATAAATTGAATTACGACGAATTAACATCCGCAGTTAATGTTTGATTATATCAATCATAAAATATTTAAAAAAAAATTAAATACTAATTTCAAAATGCCTACCTGTGATATGTGAAATATGCACTTAAAATGCAAATAATATAACATTTTAAGTATAATTGCACTGTGTATTGAAAACGAAACAATATTAATTAAATACAGCATTTGAATAATGTGTTGTTTTTTTTTACTTACACTTATTAAAAATTCTCAAAAATCCTTAGCTTAGTTATATCTATAGTTATATCATGCATTCTATTTATTTAATATTTTTCTCCTTAGTTTTCTCTTTTTACTTTAACGCAAACTATGGATATTTATATTTGTGTTTTCTTATCATAACAGGCACAGATTTATTGGAATATAATCTTCTCAGACTTAAGAAATAATCTGTGTATCATAAACTATTCTATTAATGCAATAATAGACTCGTACTTATACTGTGTAATGTTCTTATAACACAAATTAATTTTATGAGAATCAAAAGTCTAATACGTTAAAAAATATTTAAAAATAAAAAAACGACATGGTACAATAATTTTGAGTTAGTATGTATATACTAGCTACTAGGTAATATTACTTTGTAATATTATGATGTTAGCTTATAAAATAAATACTATATTTGCATGTCAATTTGCCAAACAAATTTGAAACGCAAGGATGAAAATATATATTATATTTTAGCTGCCCTTTAGAATGTAACTAATACAGTAAAAAAGCAGTGACGTCATTGAAGTCGCCATTTTGATTTTGAACATTGCCATTTTAGTTTTTATTTTTATCATGAGTGAAAAGCATGGCTTTCTTAAGGAATCAGTCGTTTTTTTATTTATTTATTATAATGCGAGTTTATATAGTAGGACGTATACTATACCGACTATATCCTAAATCCTATAATATTATATCGGTATGCATACGTATAATTACAATATAATTATTGTGTCTGATTGATCTATGTGAACAAATTATATTTTAAATAAATCGGTTAAAAAACGAATACTCGATCATTTTGAAAAAAAACCACTCCTTAAGATTTTAGTTGACAGTTTAGACATTTTTGAAATTATAGATATAATATTATACTGAAATGACGTCACGTCACAGTAAAAAAACAGCTAAAACGCAATAGTAGGTACAAATCCATCCTATATTATTAACTTGTCTGCCCGGTTTATCAACATAAGCCTTTTGTTTATATTAGTGTAATTTGTATACACTTTTTATCCTTAATTTACTGGAACTATTAATACCTAGCATATTTTTATTTTATAGTACTGTGCTATTTTCAAATAAGTACCTTTTTATTTTATTTTTTTAAATTTTATATTTATAAAACGAGCTTTTAAAATGTTTGCAATATATTATCATTCATTTCACGATATGACGTTAACAAAACTCTTAAAAAACCGAGTCTTGGATTATATTATAACAATATAGTTTTAGTCGATTTATATGTCATAATATATTTATCTATTTAGTATAAATTATTTATAATGGCATCAGTTAGCAGCGTCAAATTTTCTATTCATAATATTAATACTCATATATATTAATATATACAGGGTAATTTTGTTTATCATTGTTCAGTGATTATCTACAAAAATGTTGAGTAGAATATTGATTTTGGTTTTTTAGTCTTTATATATGATATAATCGTTTAATATCTTCTTTACAATATTTTAACATTTTATACTGATTCCGTACACATAAATACATATGCACCAACTTTTAATTTTTGAATAGCAACTTCTTTTCAAACCAGATATGAAAAAATAATTTTCGTCTAAACATGTTTGTATGTATAATACTCATAATGGATTTCTTATTTAAGAGTTTAAAGAGTTTAAGAGTTCCTATTTAATACTCTATTTATAAGTTATACTTATAACAGTTTAAAATTTAGACAAGGTTTATTATCTGAAAATTTATACCTGTATTACCTTTGCCTATTACTTCAACCTAAATTTCAAATAGTTATAACTCAAAAACGTTTTATTCGATATTAATATTACTATTATACATATAAAATTTTTTTAGAAAAATTCCGTTTTTCAAATATGTGTTTGAAAGGATGAGTTGCCATTCGAAAATCAAAAGTGAATACTAATTTAATGTACAAGGGTTAGGGGTAAAAATTTAATAATAGAGTTAAAAAAAAAGTTGAAATAATTTCATAATGATTAAAAAAAATAAAACAGAAATCAAATTCAATTATAATCCTCTGAGAAAATCACTTTATCGTAAATCACCCTGCATAATAAAATATCCGAAAAACCGATATTAATTTTATACTTTAACGGTTCTTTTCAATGTCATTTTATGTATTTCATGTGTATACCGTATACAGTATACACTGTATTATTATTATATTTTATACTTGAGCATAATTTTATGATATGTGTTACCTATTAAGTATATACATTTAATTGTATTGGTTTTTCTTTTTAATTTAAATTGTATTATTTATTTTAGATAAACCGTTCCCTATTTCAAATTTCTCTTGTATCTCCTACAATTGGGTTAGTTTAAGATGTAATTGGACGAAACCACAGAACCCAGTTGTAACAACTTATAAACTGTTTTTCAGGCTTCCAGGTCGTGCTGGAAATAGGTAATGAATAATACATTTAGTAATTTATAAATTGCTCTCTTAACTGAAATAATACTATACCTAATATTATTCCATTATTATTCCATAATTTATTATAAATGTTATAAATATTATTTGATTCATATAGAATTTCCATGACATGTCCTAATGACACTGACACTAGAGAGAATACTTGTTATTGGGATGAATTTACCGAACCCATATACAGGAAAGTATACGAATATTATAATTTCACCTTGACAGGCGAAAACATTTTCGGAACATCACACACGTCATTTGTTTTTCACCATTACGCGAACGGTATCAATACATTACATTTATTTAGTAGTTTTTTTTAAATATGTATATAATCGTATGAATATTCGAAATTATTATTTGTCAACATCTAGTTATTCCTGCGAGTCCTATGAATATCACCGTGCTTGACAAAACCCAATCAAGCGCGATGTTAAGGTGGTCTGTAGGTGTGATGTCAATGTTTCCACGTAATTTGGTCCACAAGATCGAATACAAGTCTCAATGGGATTCAAATCCCGAACATTGGCACGTAAGTATAGATAGTATTTATATATACATAACAAATAGCGATAAATAGTAAGTGTCATTATTATGGTCACGTTATTTTTAACAGTCTGTGAATGAAAACGATGTGTGTAATGCGTCGTTAACGTCTAATCAAACAAATCCAACCAAAAAGACCAACTGTCGGAAAGACAAAGACTATTATTACTTCAACGTTACTGATTTGAAATATCCGTTTACACATTACGATTTTCGGATATATGTACGTTCTTCGGTTGCTCACGGGGAGGACAAATGGTCTGCCCCGGGTTGTATCACCCTCAAAACGAAACCTACGAGTAAGTACCTTGTCCGACTCGAGTAGTTCAATATTTTGATGTCTAGAAAATGTTAACCACTATATTAGTTTACCTTTGTGTCTTCTCTTATATATTACCATTTATTTTTTAAATCTAGTACCTAGAAGACCTCCACGAACTGATATCGGAAGTTTTGAATGTGTTCCATCACAGGTTGATAAATCTACAAGAGACGTATATATTTATTGGCAGAATATCGACGACTCCGAGAAATGCGGTGACTTATTCGAGTATCGTGTTTACTATACTACCGTAATGGCAGATAACATAACAATGTTAGTATGTAGCGTTTTTTTTATTTTACAAATTTATCTATTTATGATATACTTAAATTGATTTCGATATATATTGCCTATGTATATTGTCCTTAATTATACGTTTTACCTTTAAATTTATTTCATACTACAGTATTCATTCGAGCAATGAAACATATAAGAATTATGCCAAGTTTGACGGACTCAACACCAGTATTGGTTATACATTTACAATATACTCAGCCAATGAAGAAGGTTTATCATCGGAGTATTCAACAGTTTACGTACCCAGTGAATCAGACAGTAAGTTTTATAACTAACTCCTTTAAAAATTGTTTATATTTTTACCTAATAAACCATTAACTGTTTTTAGAATTGGGTGAACCTTTATCTTTTACTAAAATGGCATTTGACAACCGAGGTGTATTCGAACTGTCATGGAAAAATGATAGCAATCAGAAATTATTCAACATTAATCAACTAAATGATTATACTATATTTTGGTGTGAAAACGACCAAGATCGCCCATATCAGTGTAATGTATGTAATACAATATAATAAAAAAATGATCCTGTTCAACTACAGATTTTGATTTTTAATGTTACTTATTATAATAGGGTTACATGAACTGGATGCACATACCAAGTTCGGAATCTTGTTACAATATAACATTAGTAGATCATATGAAAATTTATCAATTTGCAATAAGTGCTAACAGCAAAATATTAACAACTAATTCTAATAGCTTTTCTCAACCAGTTTCAAGTAGCAGTGGAATGGTTTGGGCATCATGTACAGTACTACATAATAAAAGTATGGAAAACATTATTAATTTACATATGTATATTGAATTTGAAAATATTTATAACAAATCATCCTGTATTCATAAACTTATGATATATTAGTCGTTGGCAAAATAAAAAATTTTTGGATAAATATGATCGGCTCAACAATGATGGAATTGAGATGGAAGCTTGACTGTTCTGACAGGATTGGTGCTGTTCTAGGATTTCGTATATTCTACTGTTCTGTAGTTTCCATAAATAATTCTGATTGCAAAGGTAAGTGCATTTTTTTTTTTAATAATAATCTATCTTAATGACAGTTTATATTATTACTGCTATTACATTGGTAGTGGATAATATTATTATTTTGAATTGGTCTAATCTATTTTTGAAAAATAGACAAATAAATATTATATACTCTATAAATGTTTAACTAAATACATATCGTTAAAGGTATATTAATAAAGATTCTTTTCTTTTTTTTATTTTTTTTTAAAGTATTGAACAAAAATATACCTGTTAACAATAATAAATCAATGTGAACAAATTATGTTTATACATTACGATTAAGTTTAATTATGTATATTTTAAAATTTCGTGATTTTTAATATTGTTATTTTTAACCAAATTCTTTTTATATCCTAAACTTTTTAATTTTCCCTCTCTTGAGTTTTCCTAATTATTAAGAAATCGACAAGGACCCCTCCCCTCCCAAAAAAAATCTATCTTATTATATACCAACTAAACAACATTTTATTTAAGAATAAACACTAATCTTGAAATTCTAATCAAGATTAATAGTAAAAAAAAATCGAAAAATCAAAAAACAATGAAACTCCTACTGTCATAAATTTGTCTGTTTTCATATAACTTTTTCTGGTTTTCTCCAAATAGTATGATAATAACTTAGATAATCAAAATAGATACAGACACACTTCGTATGGGTGAGTCATTCTTGTAAGTGAAAAGTTGGGAAGGTAGAGGGAAAATTTAATGTACATCTATTAACCATTTTTAATGAAAAACTTGCTGATGGCCATTATTGATTGGTTATATTATACACATTACTCATTAGAATCTAAAATTTAAAAATAATAAATAAAAAAATTGTCTCCTGATGGAAACAGCTGTTAGTAGATTATCCAAGCCTATCTTCTCTTGACACTCCACTTTAGCATTATCATTTATTACACTACACTCATTCTCTGTTCTAATTGTTTGTCTACCACACAACACTCTGAATCATATAACCAATTCTATATACAGATTTAAATTTAAAATGTTATCATAATTAATTTTAGATTTTGTATTTAATATTATCATAATAAATGTAATTAAAAAAGTTCTAAAATATTATAAATTATAGAGAATGATTATCTTTTAATAATAATGAAAAAATTACAATGTTTTGATGATTATACACACATTATTATTAATTTGTATTATTTAATGTTTTAATAACAATTATTATTTAATTTGTTTACATTAGAAACAACATTAAACAAGGTAGTAAGTGGAGAAATAGCAACCATTGAAAATCTCAAACCATATACAACCTACAAGTTGACCATCGCACTGATTACTAAACATGGTGAAGGTTTACAGAGTGATCCAATGCTTAACACAACATTAGAAGGAGGTATGTATTATATTTTTACACAGAAGAAATTTGATGTTTTTATAATAATTTTATATATTATATTTCTTTCAGCTCCTGATATTCAAGACATAAAAATAAGTGTTACAGGCTTAACAAATACATCTGTGACTCTCAAATGGCTTCCTCCAAAATGTACTAATGGTATCATTCGGTACTACCACATACATTATTATATAGACCAAGCACCACAACAGCTACATCAATCAGATTTAATTGATGAATCACTAGAAGAGCAACAATCTGAACGTAGTATAACAGTCCATGAACCTAAGGTACAAATTGAATATACATTTTTATTCAATTCAAATATCTTTAATAATCAACTTTAATTTTAAATTATATTTATTTTCAGTGCTTGTTAGAGAACCTGGAAAGTTATATAAAATATAAGATAACCATTACTGCGTGCACAACAGTATGTTCAAACCGCTCAATTCCCATACAAGTCCAAACAGCTGTAGGATGTAAGTTCACCTTAAGACCATTAAAACTATTAAATAATATATATATATACATACAACATACATATTACTATATTCTCATGTTAATGTAATTTATATGTATTTTCCTGTTATTATTATTATTATGTATATATTTTTCTGTACCTTGGGCCATGGCCTGTTTCATAATAAAATAAAATATTGATCCAAAATTTATATTACAATATTATCATGTTAATATTCAAAATGGTGAAAATGTATAGTTCATAAGTTATGTAAAATAATTTAAAAATTTTTTTTCAATGTCTTTTTGGGAGGTTTTTACAGATCAAAATTTGCAACTCAAATGAAAACCTATATTCAAAAGTTGACCCTCAAAAACAGACAGTAAAAAAAATGCATAAATTACTTTAGATGTTAATAAATCAAAATTTTGTACATTATACATTTTTCTCTGTTTTGAATGTTTACATGATAAAATAAATGTATCATGCATTTTGAATCACTCTGTATGTATACTATTTTTTTTTTATGCAGTGCCAGGAAGAGTTTCTCAACCCACCTTATTATACGAAAATAGTACTAGAGTAATCGTGTCTTGGGCTAGACCTATGAAACCTGCTGGACCAATAGACTATTATGAATTAATTGTAGCATATCATAGTGAACCCACAAATTCACAAATCGCAAATGGTGGTTCTTTACCTACAGCATTAGCATCCAAACAAATACAAGAAAATCATGATAAATTCTTGTATCACAGTGATTGTTAGTATTCATTCAAGTATTCATTTATTTTAATATTTCATTAAAGTAAATGTTTTTCCATTTTTTTATTTCTGTCTTCTCCAGCAACTGTGTTTCCTGTACCAGTTCCCAATTGTAATGATGAACATGATGAGGGTCAACAGACTTTTTCTTTTTTTGTACGAGCAGTCAATAAAAATCCATTTGATCCTCAGTGCTCGTACTATGGCCCATGGTCTGCTCCTGGCATAACCAGTTGTATATTACCAGGTATTTTTCCACAATAATTTTGATAAACTATTTAAAGCACAGAATAAAACTAAATATTCACTCAACAAATGTAAAATAGCAATATTTTCTCATAGTGGTTAGTAGTCAAATCACCATGCAAAAATACAAAAATTCAAGTGGTCAATTTTACTCATCAATATACCTTTTAAACATCCAAGAAAACATAGAAAAGTCCAATTTTAACTAAACTTGAAATATTTACATTGAGAATTAAATGATGTTCTATAACCGAGCATTTTTTATTATATTACTACGAGTAGATTAAATATGCAATTTGTGTAAATGAGTAACAACTTCATTTAAAGGCTCTTCAGATTCAGATTACATTGAAGTTATAAAATAGTAATTAATTTTTGAATGTATTGAATAGACATACACATTTTATAATGTCTAAATCAATCTTACTGGTATTTTTCATTAAAAATTGTATAAATGATAGTATCTGATTTAAATGCTATCGCTTATTTGTATTTTTACTTTACGATAAAATGATCGATGACTGAGGAAGTACTTTAGGAGGTCATTTTTTGATTTTCTTCAAAGTTTTCTCAGTATATTAGAAAAATCGGAAAAAAAACTGAGAAAAAACGAGAAAATGTACGAAATAAGTATTAGTTCAAAAATAGTACGACCTTTTTTTTTTCTTGTGAATAACTTTTCTATCAACAATTTTGCTCTGATTTACAATGATAGCACTTTTCTAAAAGAAAATCTAACTGGAGAGGTACTTTAGAGACGTAATTTTATGATTTTTCCAGTAGGTATCTCAATATTTTGGAAAAAACGTAGGAAAAATGGTAAAATAAGTACAATATTAAACAAATATTATTAAAGAAAATATTAACACCAAAATTGGTTCAAGCCCGAAATTGATATGGCACGCAAAAATCCCGAAAATTAAAATAAAAAAGATGTTCATACTTCTCACGTGGGTGGGCCACTATTGTAGGGGAAAAGTTAGAAAGGTAGTAGAGGGAAAATATAATGTTGTTTGGATGTTTGTTTGCAACGATTAACCATTGCTAACGAAAAAACGATTCTAAGCGGAGTTTGGTTGATATTGTTGCTTTGTAAAAATGTATGTTATATCACGGTAAAAAGATTATATAATATGCATTAAACATTTTCTTTAATATTATTTGTTTAATATTGAACCGATTTTCCCATGTTGTTTTCCTGGTTTTTCACATTTGTTAAGATATCCTCTGTGAAAATCGAAAAATAACCTCTTTTAAGTACCTTCCTAGGTACTTTTCTCTTCAGAAAAAATGCTTTTATTGGAGCAAAATTGCTGGTAGAAATATATCCATAGAAAACGAAAATAAATAAACATCTTTTTAAAACCATAAGCTTCTTCGCTCCAGTTTGATTTTAATATACAAACTTAAAATTAATAATATTATAATGTTATATTTTAATTTAATTTTTATTAATTTTTTTAGGTCTTCCTCTAGTACTTCATTTAGTAATTTGGTCGTGCTTGTTCATTGTTTTAAGCACTATTTCCACGTATTGGGGCAGCAGGTAAATTTTACTTTTAACTTTGTTTTTATAACAAATCATTTCACGACAATGTTTTTATTTAAAATTTAATGGACTCTTTTTAAAATAAGTATCGATCAAGTTAAAAATGAAATACAATATACGAGATATAGTATAATTAAATATTTTTTTTTAATTTTCATTAATCTCTCGAGTCCGAATCACTCTCAATTTAGTCTGTGTACCTACAGTGAACTATGATTCATACACTTTTTCAAAGTTATTTTTATTATTAATTTCGATCATTCTCATGAAAAGAATACTTGGGTATTTATTTATCTTCATAAAAAATGTGTACGATGAAAATCTATTAGAATATTAGTATTATTCGTTACGGGCAAAAAGACTCGATCTTCTTTTAAAAGTTGTGTTTTATTTAGATTTTATTCTGAGTGGAGCGTAGAAGCTTATAGTTACAAAGATGTTAATTATTATTTTTTTTTTTTTTTCATATCTGTTCGCAACTTTTCTACCAGAAGAAATGTAGGTATTAGTTAAAGTATATTACGACCTTCTTTTTTCTGAGCACAACTATTCTACCAATAATTTAGCTCTAAAAGGATATTTCTAAAAAGAAATTTCACTAGCGAGGTACTTTAGAAAGATCATTTTTATATTTCCCAAGAGTTTTCCCAAATATGAAAAAAACCGGGATAAAAGATGGGAAAACTGAGAAAATCGGTACAACATTAAACAAATATTATTAAAAAATATATATAAAGCCTATTTAATTATAATAGTATGAAAATGGTCATTCCCATTTTCTGTTTCTTATCCCATTTCCGATCTAGGGTGTGACCTAGACCACTTTTGATTTATTATCACACTTCCTGTTTAGACCACGCTTATTTCCTTACCATATATTATTTCTTATCAATCGTCATCTTTTATCATCCTGTATGTCTAATCAGTTGCTTTCTCATATCAGCGACATTATTCTTACGTTCTTATCTTTTATCAGTGTTACTATTGCCACGTTCTTATCTAATCTACGCCAAAGTAACATATACCTCACTAATCCCCTCCACTATCTAACCTATTTTTTTTTTCTAAAATCAATGACGGAACGGGAAGTGCTGTGGGCATTACTTCCGATCCGCCACCATCGTTTATTGAAGAAAAACATAAAATATTAAAAAAACAACAATAACACTAGGAACGGTGGTAAGGCAAAACCCCTTCATCCGAGGCTTTACAACATAAATAGATTAACCGATGCGATCAAGCCGGTGTCATTCGCGGGCCGTCTCTAACCGCCGCCCTAGAAAAACCCGTACCTCTGCTGGGACCTTTTATCGGGTCGTCTATGACCATCGCCGGGTTATGAGCCGGTTATCCCGTGCTCATCTGGGAATGATTGGCCGTGCTTGGTGGCCGCTGGGTACTTCTCACTCCCTTTCGGCTGCCTCCTTTGCTGTCATAATTTCCCTTGCAAAGTTGGTGAACGCGGTCCACTTTGCTAGGTTAGACAACATCCAAATTTCCGACGCTCAATTCACACTCGAGGGCCCTCTCCAAAGTCCTTCACTCCTGTTCCCAGCAGGGGCAACCTATGCCCCTGCTAGAATTGTGTGCTCCGCATCGTCGCTACTGGCGGAGCAGTGGTAACAGCCACCCGTATCTTCTTTGTTGATCTTCAGCAGGTACTCCTCGAAATAACTATGACCTGACAGTAGCTAGATAGAGTGGAAATCTAGAGAGCCGTGTTTGCAGTTGCACCAGTCATCGAGGTTATTGACTAGCTTCTTCGTCCAGCCGCCGGTGGATGCCGTGCTATTAACCTCCTTCCACTTGAGCATGGTGGTATCCCGGAGGGTGGGAAGGCCGGGTTCCAATATCTAACCTATACCGAGCTAACCTATACCCCGTTCATTCCCTACACTATCTAACCTATGTCAAACTACCATTACCTTCTCACCCCCTCCTCATATTCATTTCTTATCCGCTCTTAACTGCTTTTATCCACTCTTATGACTATGACTTCATCACCGGTACTATTCGACGTATCACCGCAAAACTATAATACCTCTCCACCCTTTTTCCCGTTAAACTAGACTACCGCGACTATCCCATCCGTGTATCAGACTCGTCTCCGCGGAACTATGATACCTCACTTACTCCTCGACTCCAACAAAATATTTTTATAATCGTATACTTATACGAAATATAATAACAGCATTCGTGCGAGTCCGCACACATGTGGGTACAAAGGTCGATCACGGCCCATGTATTTCACATCTACTTACCTACACACTAATTGACTTCGTTAATAAAATTTTGTTGAAGCACGTAAATTATATTAAATAAAAACAAATTGTTAAATTTAGCCAAAATATTATATTTTAAAATAAACACACACACACATCTAAGGTCACATAATATCTATTCTTATATTTATAAAAATATTAAAAACATAATGATATATATTGTTGATAAAGCATCACTATCAATTGAACTCCGCTCAGAATCTTTTATTCGTAAGCAATGGTTTATTGTTGCTTACAGTTATACATTAAATAATCTATAACAGTGGCTGCACCCGTCCCCATTATCCTTGGACTTCTTTTTATATTTTAACTTATTTTTAATTATTAAATTATAAATAATTATAGAGATAAATAATTGCATCAATTCAATAAATATTTTTATTCGTTATTTGTATATTTTTATTAAAAATAATAGATTAAATACTTAATATAATAATATTAATTGAATAAATTATAACGTTTTATCGATATTGTATAAGTTATATACAGTATAAACCCATCTATATAGCCGTGATTAAAACTTTTAGTCAACTTTTAATTCTATTTAATGAAATATCTATTTCAATTTGTTTTAATTGGTTGAGGTAAGTTCTTTTGCCCCCTCCCCATAAATACACGAATGATTATCTCTTATCTTAATCTAAATATTTTTAATTTTCTTTACCCAAAACTACCAGAAATATATATTAAATACATATACAAATTGTATTTTATTATATACCTACGGCACATCATGATTTTTTTTTATATAATATAATATATATAGGTGTATATTTTTTTTTCCATAAGGTTTTGGCGTAAGTACAAAATTATGCACAACATTCAAGTGGTTTTGCCTCCTACGCTCAACATAAACTTTAATTATGTAAGTATACCTTATATATTATATTAATAGAATTTGTGAATAGCTGATATATATAGGTAGAATTTTCGTTTATAGTTCAAACCCCGTGAGGTTTCAATAATGCTGTGCAGGGCTGGAAGGTTTTATGGGCACTTGCCCCGGACAGCAGATGTTTGAGAGGCATTCGGATGTCAAAATATTATATGAAAAATTTAAAACTTTGTGAACTTTGGCTTAGGAAATTCATGAAAAAAAAATATCAACTTCTAAAAATAAAGTTTATTTATATTTATATAATTTGGGCTGCAAATTAATCCTCAAAGATTTCACGTGACAACATAAT